TAAAAATAAAAAATAAAATTAAATATAGGCATATACATATTTGTTATTTACTTCCTATAAATAGAATAAAAAGTTAGCTGACCTGCTGCTTAAACGATATGAATTTGGTTTTGAGAGATTGTAGATAAAGTGTTAAGTTGAAAAAAAAAAAAAACTTTAAAAGATTACGATATTGTGTTTAAATATTTAAGTAATAAATCATAAATATAAACCAAATGTTTATCAATAACTGTGAATTTACAGGTCATCTGATAACCGTGTTCAACAGCCAGATGTTGTTGTTGTTGTTGCTGCTGCTGGTCAGTCATATGCAATATGCGTGTAATTTACAAAGTTCATTGTTGTCTGTACCAATGCATTAATGTGTGTGTGTGTGTGTGTGTGTGTGTGCAATTGTGATGTAAAAATGGTTTACCTTCTCTTTCGATTTTTGATTTGTACACCCAATGGGTGTGCGTGTGTGTGTGTGTGTGGTTATATCTCTCGATGGCACACGCCCACAGTTTATAAGCCTTTTGGCTACATTTTGTGGCTTTGATTGCAATTATCTTTTGAATTTTGTATTTATTTGCTACACTCTGTCCAATTGTTCGCTCATCGGCTTTTGTATTGTCATTGTTACTGTCATTTGTATCCATATGTGCAAATAAACGGCAAGCACATTGTAAATGAAACAGCCATCGGGTGTGGCCTTTGTTCTATGCTCGGTTCACTCATACACACGCACATACGACGATAGGAGCACTGCACATCAAGCGATAGCAGGTGTGTATCGAGGTGTGTGTGTGTGTGTGTATGTGTGTGTTAGCATGAAGATAGCCAGTTTTCAATTTGGCAATTTGCCGTTTATTAATTGGCAATATCGTGCAGCCTGTAAGCCATTCAGAGGAGCCTCGAGGCTTATGGTGCTGGCTAATGCCAGGCCTCGCTTATTGCATGTAAAGAGGCTCCAGAGACAGCCTGAATAATAGGGAAAGCTATTGTGCTAGGTTAGCTTTCAAAGGTTTATTGACGCTTAAACTTTCTTCAGAGTATCTGGTAACAGTTTGAGAAACTGATAAGAACTGATAAGAGGCCAAGCGGAGAGCTCAGAACTGACCCCAGCGTTGGGGCAATCCCTCGCCATTCGGATAATTTCGGCTATTCATATGCTTGATCAGATAGTTGGCGAAGCATTCGCCGCGCTTCTCCGGCTGGACACACTGCACCGCTCGCCAGCCATTCGAAATGAGAGCGCACCTCTCCGGCTGCACATGAAAGGGCTTTGAGATGGTCAGAAAGCTGCGTTTCTTGCGCGGCCGTTCAGGCACGTTCACCGGCTCCAGCATGTGGTGCAATTCAATGGGCGGCTCGTGCGGGGCATCCAGCAGCATGGCCACTTGGGGATTCTCCAGGCGCATTGCCTGCATCTGCACATCGTCCAGATGCCTCTCCCAGACATTCTCGCCGTCGCCATCCCCGTCGCCGTGTCGCACATTGATTACGTCGACGGCTTGCACCTCGGGTAGCGGCAAGTGTATCAGTTCGTCAGCTACTCTGTTTTCCATATGGCTGCTCTTCAGCTCCCCTCGCGTTGATTCGGAAATAAGCTAAGAAAGGCTCCTTTAATACGGCAGCGAAGATCTGCTATCTGCAAGAGTGTATTAGTTCTAGAATCTCTTTTGTTTCTTTTTTTTTTTTTGGTTTTTATTTTGTGTTGTGATGTTTGACAATTAAGAGAACTGAAATTGATAACAAAAATGAGAGAATTGTCCAAAGTATTCTCCAGGCCTGCCTCACTCCTGCTCGAAAGATGTGGTGTGAGAGATGTGCAGATGTAACCCAAATGTGATCAAGACTAAATGGTTTTCCATAACCATTTCATGTGCGATAAGATACAACTGTGATCCCGTGCACACACTCACACAGCCACACATATCGACTCAGGAAATCAGGCGAAGCACACATACACATACGTATGCACATACTAAATATCGACAACTTAAATGCTATAGAGCCGTCTGGCTGGCCAGCGGCAAATGCTACTGTTGCTCCCCAACGTCCGGCTACAAATGGATAAATGCTGTCTGACATTTACCCACTTCTCCCCCTCATGCGCTCACACCTACACACAAAAAGCCGGCACCCGCCCATTGATTGCACGCATTTAGCCCTCTTTAACCCGATGGCGTCTGTGTCTGTGGATGTGTGTGTGTGTGTGCGTGTGCCTGTGTGGGGTGCTGCCGCTATTGTTACTGCCGCCACCGTCACCATCATCATTACAAGCAATTTAATTCGTCGAAATGTTGCCATGAAGCGCACGCCGCAGCTGCTGCCCCATGTTGTAAGTAGGTTTGTTGTTGTTGTTGTCATTGTTGTTGTTGTCGCTGTAATGTAATGGCTGCACAATTAATAATATTGCTTATTAAAAGCACTTATATAATAACTGTAACTCCCAATCACCACATTCGAATCAACAATTTCAGTTTCGCAGCTTAATCAATTTGCTCTGAGAGCCGTGCGCCAATTGATGTGCTTAAATACTATTTTGGGTGGCTTAATGCGAAGCTTTTTATGGGAAGTCAGGCAAGCGCGTGGCGACTAACGCGAAAACAAAAACACAAGCGAACAAACACAAACGCACACATACACCCACACACATACACACACTCATACGCATGCAAAGTTGGGCGCATCCAACAAGTTAGCTGGCAACATGCTGCTAGCAACATTCCAGCAGCATTTGAGTAAAGCGCCGTCGCAGTTGCTCACGAGCAGCCAATTTGTTACTCACTTTCATTGCCGTACTCATTCGCTCTCGCTCTCACGCTCATTCGCTGATTCGCTCTAAGTGAGGCGTGTGTGTGTGTTTGTGTGTGTGAGTGTGCTTCTGCTTGCAATTTATTAAGGTCTATCCTGTGGCACTGTGTGTAATCACATTGTTGCCATTTTCACTTCATTATTTGCTTTTATATGTGGCAATTTTGTTTTATTGCTGGCGGCCTGGCAGCATCCTTCGGCTTGCGCTCGCGTAAGCTTTGGCGCAGTCTCTGCCGTTCCCTCCCTGCCCCTCACTGTTCCCTTTCTGTCGGCGTCTCGCTCCCTTTAAGCACTTACCATTTAGATGGTTAAGCAACAAGGCCATCCCACCCCATGCCACCCATCGGAGTCAAATCCAGCGGCAGTTGGTGCTCAATGTCGCTTATTCGCTTCTGGCGACCTTGTTTGTGTTGTGTGCGTGTGTGTTTGTGTCTGTGTCTGTGTGTGTGTGTGGGTGCGTGGGTGTAGCGTTGAGCATGTGCGTGCGGACAGCAGACAGTAATTATTATCCCATGTCCAGCGATAATTGGATTCAATGAAATGTCTCCATGGAAGGTTTGTCTGTGCCAAGTAGCATAAAAGGCTTCGCATGTCAATGTGTCAGCTCCACAGAGCGAGTTCTGGCTCTGACCACGTTTGTGTCTGTGTGAGCGTGTGTGTGTGGGTTCGCAACGATTTGTATGTTTATTAAATGCTTCAGTGTCAATCGAATATTGTCAACTAATTTCATACAGTTGAATAAAAGCTGACCTTTTCCCACTATTGTGGGATTGCCAAGGAAGAAGCATTTGAGTCCACGACTTTAGCAACTTTCGTCTTGTCATTCTCATCGAATAAATAGTTGAAGAGTTGAGAAACAACTGAACTGGATGAACTAAATAGCAAATTAAATACAAATTAATCAATAACTCAAACGGGTGCCGTAATAAGAGCACTGTATTTAATATGAATAAGGTAATTATCCAAGGCTACAAGCATTTATTAAATATTTATTGATTTCTTAATTTGCAATTGAGCAATAATTTGTTACGAATATTAAAGCAAAGTCTAATAAATTAATTTTCTAATACTAGATAATAAAAAAATTATACTAGGTGTATTTTTGTATACTGTTTTTTTTTTTTTTCTGTTTTGTATAATAAAATAAATAATAAAAAGTTAAAAATTTAAACACATATTAGGCGTATTAGTCTAATATTGTCTTGTACATTATTCTAATAATTGTGTGTTTTTATTTTCATTATTATTTATTGTATTAATGTAAGCATTCTAAGTTTTTTTCGTTTTGTGTGTTTTCATAACCAAACAAATTAAATTGAAGTTTAATATGCTATTATATTCCAAAATGCCGAGATATACATGTTAACCATTAGTTAAATATCACTGGTTAGCGGTAACTAATTTATTTAATATGACTAACCAAAAAGAAAACGAAATTCAGTCAGAGAGTGCGTGGGTTCTTACACACAACCCACACACTTTCTGCCTTTTATATGATACCTAGTTTTATTATTGTCAATATTCAACGAATTCTATACCGCTTTTGCTTAAAATTCTGATATTCTTCGGCAACTTCTAAGAGCAATAATCTTCGCTAACGACGTATCGTCTTTAGTCTTCTTTGGTTTTTAGCTATAATCAGCCAGCGAATTTTCTGAGTGTTTTCTCGAAAACCATTAAACAGCAGGTACGACGCGATTCACTATTGTTAGTATTCACGAATTGTTAAGAGAATTGAACAGAATCGATTAAATAAATGAGATCAAAAACAGTCCATAATATAATATTAATAATATTTCGATTAGTTTTGGATATAACTAGGCTATAGATCACCTTTTAAAGACAGGCAAAGATAGACATTATAAATAGTAGAAAAAAATAAGAATAACAACATAATAAAACTCGAGATATACTCTATATAGAATTATATGGTAATTGGGTTGAGTTATTAAATAGATCTCAATGCTGGCTAATTTCGAAACAGGTGTCATTATGAAAGCCATTTGGTGTGATCATAAAATTGTCATAATGAATTAAAGCACATTAGCATAGCCCAAATATTGTACCAATGAATCTTTCAGAGTGCGTGGCACTAAACATTTGCCCCAATGGTATTCACCAGCTGCCAGCTAATTAAATTGAAATATTATTGCATTTAATTATCGGGCCGCCATTCGGCGTGGCGCACAGAACTGCAGCCAATTGGCTGAGCCTTCCATTCGGCTCGTTGCGGCTCGAAATGACTCGCCTGCCCCGTCGCATCGACTCGACTCGACTGTTTTGGTGCATTCTCTGGCCTAGCATAAAATGTCAACTGCATTAGCATCATCATAATGGCAACACTCTAAAGACTGCCCGGGAGCAGTCTGCCTGTCCGACCGGGCCTTTGATCTGCGCTGGCTGCGATGGCGGCGACGTTTCGCTTGTTGAATCCAATATAGACAAACATATTTTTTATGGCGGGAGAGAAACTGAGATGCGAGCTGCGAGCTGCTAGATGGGAGCACTGACTGTGTGCGTTTTGCTTTTATATTTTCGTTTTTAATTACTTTTGCGCTATTTTTGAGCTGTCTGCGGTACAGGCCCATAGCTATACCCAAACTCGTACCCGTACCCGCACCCATACCCGCACCCGTACCCGCACCCCCTACCCGGACTCGAGTAATGCAGAGGCAGCCTCTTTACTAGGTGTTAATTTATTTTTAATTTTTATTATTTATCTGAGCTATGCGATCTCTTACAGGCTGCGACGACAACAGCAACAGCAACAGCAACGACAACGACAACATCGACGTCGACGTCGACGACGACGACGACGACGACATTGCTGCCAGGCCCGTCCCCTTCAAAGAGTGAGGCAGACATTTAAGTGGATCTCGCAGTGCGCCATTCAATTCCATCATCAAAATGTTGACGTTTCTATTGCATGCCAGTGGCAGTTGGTCTCCAGCTCGGGTCTCCGGCTCTCTGGGCTCTGCACTCTCGCATGCAATTAATATCATTTTTATGTTCTAATGACATTCGTTGCGCTGCATTTCGTATGCATTTAGTGGCCCCCAACATCATCGCTCAAAACGGCGTGGCAGGCACGAATCTTTCAAGTTGTAAAAACGCCATTAAATTGGCAGCGAAGTGGATGCCAAGCTGCCATTGCCCCTGCCCCTGCCCATGCCCGTGGTTGATCTGGGATGATCACTCAACAGGCAAACAGCTTGGCGGGCTGCCATCGACGCAGATGCCTCGGCCTCGTAGTCATAAACTCACCAATGCGTAGGGCGCCCACCATTAATGGGTGCGGAGCGGAATGGGCGGGGGCCCTTGCACTGTATGGCAACATGCCTCTTGTTTATTGGCATTAATTAATTTGTATGTTTTTATTTCGATTTGAGTAAAATTTTCGACGTTCGCTCTTTTGTTGTAAATATCATAAATACTTCGCTCTCGGCCTCATAAACTTGCTTCAAAATCATAAAACCCCGAAAAAATGTAGAAAGTTGCGCCACTGACACAGACAGCCACTGCATTGGTTGGTGGGTGTTGTACTTGGCTACTGGGACTGCGACTGCATCAGTGGATACAGTTATTGTATCATGACTGGAATCTTAATGGTCAATAAAAGCTAATTAAATGTTAATCCAAAGGCATCTTTGGGCCTCGACGCAAGTCGATCAAATATGGAAAATTGTTGAATAAATCAACTAAATCTCACAATCTACAGCTACGCACACACACACACACACATCTATGTATATACATTTATTGCTCACCAATTATGTGTGGTTGAAATGCGGCGTGTGTGCTGCTGGCACATGCATCACAATTTTCACTTTAGGGTTTGCCTTTCGTTGACAGCCGTCGAAAGGGCGAATCGAAATTGTGGGATGATGCTGCCGGCAGGTTTCCCTGGGAGGCAGTCTGGCA